CACCATAACATATCTCCTAATCTTGCTCGGCACATCCATAGAAATGATGTGAAGGGTAATTATACTTGTGTAATTTTCATGGAACAAAAATTGAGTATTAAGTAAGGCAGGGGGAGGCACCGATGACCGAGTGTTTGTGAATGGTTCTCCCGATTCAATATTCTCATTGGTTTGTGTGTCATTACTTTAGGCTCTGGTCCACTAATTATCCCACTGACACTCTTAGATTCAGTAAGCTCAAAACATATACTTAGATGGTGAGCTGGAGCTACATCTTGATTGGAGAAGGGCTGTTTTCCCAGTACCTTTGATATGTCCTCTAATACAAATAGCATCGATCGGAGAGCAGAGTTTGGTTGGTTATTAGGCATCGGATAAGTTGTCTTAACTCACCACCTGCGAGTAGTTAAAAACAGCGCTCTATCCAACGAGCCTTAGCTCAATTATAGCTAATACATGCTACTTAAAGAAACAACACGCGGTTAGCAAGCCGCGCTGCTCCTGAATGGCGCGTGGTTTAAAAAAAAGAAGGACAAGTCATATGATCGTCATGAAAATATGGTGAACAAGCCCGGAGTGGACCTCCATAGAAAATAAGCGTAGAACGCTAACGTAATTCTGGGTTTCCAACAGTGGCCAGCATACATACTGATAATTCAATGTGCGGTATCATAGGTGTGTAATCATGAGGCGTGCACTATTTATCGCTAAAAGAGATATTTATCGAGTAGAGTGCAAAGCGATCGGTCGTGGAAAAGATGTGTGCTAGTCAGATATCACAATTTTCATTAACAGAACTATACCTCTCAATTATGTATGTAAGTACTAACATATAGCTCACTCCGAGAGAGAAACGAATAAGAAAGACGACCGGTAGAAACAAAAGAAGTTTTTTTTGGAGTACACAGGGTTAGGGGAGCTCCCGGCCAGAGAGGGTGGGGGATGTGGGTAGAAAAAGAGACAAACAATCTCTCTATCAGCTGATCTCACCGGTTTTAAGTTGCATCTCTAGGAAGCCTAGGACCTCGTTGAGCATGGATACTCACAAAAGTTAGAACAAGCAGGTAAGGTTGAATTTGATGGTTCAAACTGGTAGCCTCCACTCTCTCTCCTAGTCATATGAAGTTGCTAATGGACTAAGGCCTTCTCAAACCTGCTTTGTCGATTGCGTTGGGTACTCAACCTGAGGGAATGTTGAACAGCCCCAAATCAGTGAGCCAACAATGCCACGAGAGTGCCCGATTATTCTTGATTTCTATCAGATACAGAATCCTTATTTAGTACACAGAATAATACAAAAGGACACCATAGATTACTCTTGTTTCATCAATCAGGGGTTCTTATATTCTTTCAGCTTGGTCGTTTATGAAGCATTCATATCAAGAGCTTGATCTTGGTCTCTTGCTCGTTAAAGTAGAGCATCTGAACAGGTCACAAAGGGCCTGAGTGGAATCATGTACCATTGGAGCTTTCTTTCGTAAATCTCCATCTCCTCTTGGAAGTAGGAAGGTTTGATCAAGAGCATGTGATTTTTCCCTGGACCCGCCGTACTGACTTCCAAGGTATGTCTGTCGGAACATCTCTGAGTCCCCTATACCTTCGTTTTTCTCTAGGACTTGTTGCCTCTTCCCCAAATTGGTAGTTGGCCTGAGACATGGGAGGGGACCGAGTCTTTCAGAGACCCTTGGGTCATTGATCTTCAAGCTTACATGGATGGGATTGTCTCGACATTGCTTTAGGAAGTCTCAACAGTCGCGAAAGATGGCTTTCGATCCTTCCATTCCTTTTGTAAGGAGGTGCCTTCCTCCACTCCTCTTGCTTCGGGTCGAAACAGCTGGGTTGAAAGAAGTCTCATGTTGCTCGCAATTTCGATGAGTAGCTCACTCCTCAATGGGAATACCCATGTGGAGGGCAAATGACCCTCCGTGTTGGGGGGCACCCAGTTGATGGTTGACTTTCACATGGGTGATGAGCTCGTGTGTTTTAGTATATCTAGACTCATGGAGCATCTCGAAGACCTTCTCATACTGCTCTTGGAGGATCTCATTCTTCATCGCTATCTTGTTGTTCTAAGCCTCCAGCTCATTGACTTTAACCTGAAGAGTAAACTTCTTTTGTTCCTTCTTTCGTTGCTTTTCACCAGGTGCAAGAGGGGTGTCATTCTGTGTGTTGTGGCTTCATGCGTTCCCCATGTTGGAAAGGGATGCTGGTCAAAAAAGAGTGTACGAATGGTGGAAACCAGCTTAACAAAGCTGAAGAGAGTGGGAATGAGTGTCGTTCCCACAGACGGTGCCAAATGTTGATGCACAAAATCAGTAAGGACTTTGGTACAACAGAAAGTGTCAAGTTTGTGACCTTTGCTAGATTGCTCTGGTCACTAGTGTGGATAAGTATGCAAATGGATAGAGACAAGGAAGCAAACACAAGATGTACGTGGTTCACCCAAATTGGCTACGTCCACGAAGTAGATGAGTTCTCATTAATTGTGAAGGGTTTACACAAGTACATAGGTTCAAGCTCTCCTTTAGTGAGTACTAGTGAATGATTTAGTACAAATGACATTAGGAAATATTGTGAGAGAATGATCTCTATTTATAGAAGAGAGTTTCTAGTTTCATTATGACATTGACACGTGTCGTGTTGTGATTGGCTTCTGATGTTGACACGTGTTGCGCTATGATTGGCTTCTGATGTGGACACATGTCGCGCTGTGATTGGCCTCCTGGTTGGAGGGAAACTCTTCTGGGTCCTTGACGGTATAACGTTGACCGGTGCTCAGTAGTTTCAACATTGGTCAAGTATAGTACAAACACCCTTCATGTTGACAGATGTAGTTCTCAGTAAACAAACTTATGCAAGTACATTTCACTTAAAAATTCCGATATGCATCCATTGCTAACTGATTTAACTTCACTGCTAGATACCACCGCCTGGAAAAGGTATTGCCATATACCAGTTTTGCAATAAGCAGAACACGCAAGTAATAAACAAAAGTACCAATTTGGTGGGTGACATCTCCAAGCAGTTTATAATTAATTCAGACAAAAGATCACACATATATCCATACTAATGAAAGAGAGTTACGACTTCTGAAACTCGCTAATTCATTTGGAAAGAACCAAATGACCCATACTAAATGATCATGCTTTTTCGTTAAATTCTTATCAGGAATATGATCATAGTCATGATATATATCACTGTAAGTTTTATTCATGAGTTGAACACGAATATGCAACGGTAAGGGATGCAACTGAACATCACATTGAGAATATTACATACCAAATTTGGTAATGTCTCTCATGTCTTTCATGTAATGTACCAGTTCTATACAATACCCAAGACACCAATTGTGTCATTTGATCAACGATGTAACCTTTAAAAGGGTTGCATTAGTTTCAAAAGGTACTTTGAGACTTCCAATTGGTCAGTCGAAACCAACCAAAAATCTATAGATGTTTGTTTAAATCTCCAGACTTAAAAGAAAAGAAAAACTGCAAATTTAAGAAGTCAACAAGTGTAAGTAAGTCTTTCAAAGTATACACATGGTATCCAACCGTAAACCAGGATTTGATGCATTGAATCCTGCTGTAATAAACATGCATACCATAACCATATATTAATCATGCATTTGCTCTCATCTAATCACATATTATTCATAATTTTCAATGACAAACAAACAACGTACCAAAATGACAAAATCCATGTAATCGAATACCATATTTTCACCCGTACGTGATTTTCTCACAAGCAAACTTTATTTGATCAACCTTTGGTAGCAACTAAACCTTAAACTTGTCTTAAGATTGTTGGAAAAATTAGGGTCTAATTGCTATAATAAATCACATAGAAAATCAAGAAATAATTCATGCAATTATATATCACAATAATGCATACACATGAGTAACCAATGTTAAATGAACATGATATAATGGATTAGAAAAACCTAGAAAATACGGTCGAGGCAAGTGTTGGACACTTTGTCCTTAAGACAAGTTTACGCCCTACTACGATGCTCATGTTTGATTGGCACATGTCTCCCAATATACAACGACCACGTCCTTGTAATAGTAGCACTCCAAATCACAAGACTCCATGAACCACGATTGTGTTGAAAACTCTCTCATATGGACTCAATGAGACTCTCTAATATTGAGTGCACTCTATATATGATTACGTAAACAATGAAAAGTTCTATAATGATTATAGCGGGCTTCCTTATTTATAGAATGTGAGATACATCTTTAAAAAAACATGTGATTATTCATGCTCTTTATTCGAGTAAAAAGTTGCAACTCTTTATTCGAGTAGACACATCTTTCTACCAAAATACTCCACTTCTAATTTCCATTCAATTAATAAATTTAATATAATAATAATATTATTAAAATTTTCAACCGTAACCATCTTAACCAAGGAAAATCAAACGATTAAAGAAACACATGCTAAGTTGGGTGGAAACATGATAGGTTACTGCAATAGGGTCAAAGAAATATCACAATCGGTGACAAAGAAAAGGTTTGTAAATCCAACTTTTTGTATAAGAGATAATGTGGAAGGATGATCGAACACTGGACGCCAAATATGAATAATATTTTAATTGCTTGAACTATAAAACTTGCATCTAAATCAATAAAATAGAAGGACAATGCTAGGGAGATTGAATTCGTAGGTCAAACTAAATGATGTACTAGTAATCAGAATGAACACTTTTATCAATGTTTTAGTAACAATTCAACTATCAACTTACATATCATTTAGTTTACAAAATTTTATTTATAAATTTGTCTTCCTAACATTACCCTAAATGGATTGGATTCATCTGATAATATTATTTTTAAGGGGAACAAAACTCCAACGTTTTCTATGTGCTTGTTCATTGGTTTTGTGGGTGAAAACTTGGATGCAACCTAAAACTTGGACCTGAGGAATCTTTGCAATTTCATCATATAATATATGATAGCTTTCAGTAAAGGGCACAAATGATGACGAGCTCCCATACGTTTCACTCACTAATTTCATTAATTAATTAATTAATTAATTAATTAATTATACAGATAAGCATGAATCGAATAGCACATTAATTAATTGGTTTAATAGAGTTATCAAAGATGGAAGATAATCCAATTGATAGCATAGGACACGGAGAGACATGGAGAGAGCAAGGCCATGTGAATTGTGATCCACTCCATCTGTCGTCATCCTCGTATGTTCAGTCGTTTATCACCATTATTCACCCATGCATTCAAGCTTCAACATGTTTGTTCTGTTTTCGGTGCTGCCAACAGCCTCATTTACTTCATCACCATTTTGAGTGTCCCACTTATCACATGAGTCAAAAAGGCATCAACCTAGTAAGTCGTCGAGGATGGCTCTCGTACTTGAGTATTTTTGTTCACACTGTGCTCCGAGCTCAAACTTCTTCTCTTCTTAGTGCTAGTTCAGAATAAGAATATCACTTTTATTTAAATAAAAAGTAAATCTCGACTGTAATGAGTTTAATGTAGGATTTACCAGTAGAAATATATCTTTCATGGGTCAATATACTGGAAGCTGTTCATCATTCAATCCTCTACTGATTATTCCTCAAAGTTTCAATATCTGTAAAATGGGTAATGATTCATCACAAGCTATTGAAATTTAGTGTGATAACAATTGTTAGTGGGCGTCCACTTAGAAGAAAATAAGCGCACAAAAATCTTAAGATCCACCTATGAGATTGCATATCAAACCAGATCTAGGTTTTCATGTGGCAAGCTCCTTTGATGCAAGAAAACACCTAGTTCGCGTGCAAATGAAATATTTGAGGAGAAGAAGTTCTTGCGTACAATAACGAAGACGTGATCAGCCTATCAAGAGATACTGAACGTTGCATATATATACTCATCGTTGTATGCAAGAGGTTTTTTTAATTGAGATATGAAATGCATATTTTTTTTTTTTAATCTTCACCAACTATCATAAAATCAGAATAGACCAATCGAGACACACACACGTGTATGTGTGTGTGTGTATAATATATATATATATATGTGTGTGTGTGTGTGTAATTATATGCAGCCAAAAACTGAGACTGCAATTTAAGTCCTATTGTCTCATTACTTGGTCGTAGCAAGTAGCAAAGCAATGCAATCCAACATCACCACGCACATTTAAAAACGAAATATTTTAACTATTTAAAAAGTGAAAGGCACTTACTGTAGCAGTTGTAGTCAATGCCTCAATGGTGGTTGCCGATTACTGCCAGCATAAACAGACTACAATTAGGGTTCGGTCCAAATTGGCAAGCCAACCGACTTTGATCAAGTCAACTTACTCGCCTGCAGCAGCCAGCCACGGCTGACATTTCTCATTTACTAAACTTTGAAGATCTAAACTTCCAAGACACTCAAAGACCACATGTGAGCTTCCCCGCCAATCTAGATTGATCGATTGCCTAAATATTATTAGGGTCCACTAATCTCTCTCCTTGTTCTTGAAAAAATTTGCTGTCTGTACTTTGCGTATGCTAAACCGACAAAAGAAAATGAATACTTGAAAAAACAAATTAAAAAGCTAGTAGGAAAAGAAAAAAAATATTCACAAGCCATCTGTTTTTGAACAAAAAAATGTTATCAACTTGCATGCATAGTGGATAGCCTAAAGTTGGAGAGAAAAACAGACATAACAATCAGTGTTTTAAAAATAGCCTTGAGGCGTGCCTAGTTGGCCTTTGAGGAGGGGGGTTATTTGCTTAAGTGGGAGTAGGCTTAAATTCGATTAAATGTGGTTGAGACGTGTCTGAAGCGTTATATGTGACTTTTTTTTATTATTTATTTTAAAGTTAGGGCTTCTCACCTACAAAGAAGAAATTTTTATTTGATTGTTGATTATTCTTCTACAATATTTGATTTCGACTCTATTGTTGATTATATTATATATAAAATATGGGAATGTTATTCACATTATAAAAATCTTATTTTGTACTTCAAACTTTTTATAATTAGAAAGAAAAATACATTTGTGAGAAATTTAGAATGAAAATTTTGGAATGCTAAGGCCATCTCCAACCGAAGGGTCCAGAGGGCTGAAAATAGCCCTAAAACCGTCTCCAACCGAGGGCTAGGCCAGAGGGCTCTGGAATCTGGGAGGGCCCCACGGGATCGGAGAGGGCTGGAGGGCTGGCTGCTTTCGGCCAGCCAGCCAGCCCCGGGCTGGCTTATTTTTTTTTTTAATGTTTTCTATTGCTGTCGGTTAAAACCGACAGCATTAAACAGGTTTTATTTTATTTTTAATAGTTCTACTATTAGTGTCGGTTATAACCGACACTAATAGTTTGAATGTTTTTTAATACAACGGCTAGTAGCCGTTGTATTATTAGGCCTTTTTTTTTTTTTTTAAAACTTTTTTTTTCCCCTTTTTTTTCCTTTTCATATTAATCAAATTTTGTTTCATATTTTTTTTCAATTCTATTTTACAAAATTTGTTTCAATTTTTTTTTAAATTCTATTTTTTTCCTATAAATTCTATTTTACAAAATTTGATTCATATTTTATTTCCTATAACTTCTATTTCACAAAATTTGTTTCATAATTTTTTTCAATTCTATTTTTTTCCTAGGCCATTTATACAACATTAAATTAAATTAAGTAACATGAAACAACATTAAACAATATGAAATAACATTAAATAACATTAACCAACATACAAATTATACAACATAAAAAAACATTTAACAACATGAAACTTAAACAACATTTTTAAAAACATTTAATAACATTAAATAACATTAACCAACATATAAATTATGTTTGGCCCTATGGCCCTTTGGCCCTCGGTTGGAGACGGTTTTTTGTGACAGGGCTAAAACGAGCCCTCTGGCCCTCTGGCCCTCGGTTGGAGACGGAGGCAAATATGGCCCTGTACTGTTCATTAAAATATTAATATCTTGGAGAATCTTGGAGGGGCCAGAGGGCTAAAACGAGCCCTCTGGCCAGCCATCGGTTGGAGATGGCCTAATAACAGTTTCATAAAATATTTATATTAATAATTTTAGATCTCGTGTGGCTTTGCCTGACACCTCAAGACTTTCGTCTAAGCAGACCCCTATTCATGAAACACCTTTGCTTCGTTTTCGCCTTTTAAAACATTAATAACAATAAACCCGAAAGCACCATCGTCATTGATGTTGATCCCAAAAAAAATCAAGCAAACACCGAAATAAATCATTGGAGTTTTACAATTAAGCACGTGAAAATAACACTGCACATAACACCCCAATCATAAAAGAGATTACATAAATAGGAGAGAAACTTGTATTCACCTCTAGATGTCATTACATTATAAAGTTGCTGGATCGGTAATTTCATTTTTCACATAAATAAGAGAGAACTTGTTGGATCGGTAAATAACACAATGTCTGATGAAAAATTAAATTACAAAGCGTTATATTATAGGCCCGAGACATTGCATTTAAATAAAAAGATGAAAAGAAAAAGAACTTGCATTTGAAGAACTTTCGAGTGAATTAATTGCTACTAAAACTTTTCATCATAATTTACACGATTTCTTTCATACAAAGGCATGAAAAGTTATAAATTAACACCGAAATAAAAAAAGTAAACAAAAAAAAGAATACAAATAGTACAATCCTTCTTTCATAAGCCCTGCTGTACGTTTGTTCTGTTCATTATTTCTCGATCCTCTTCCTCCCCATGCCAAATCGACAACTGATTCATGCCGCCGTTATTCTTTCGACATCTTTCCGGCCATACTTTCGGCTTCTGTAAGCCGGTGAAGTTAGGGCCCCTCGAGTTCTTAAGCGGAAGCAACAGCTGAGACATCTTTGCTTGATCTGTTGTATTTCATGTGACTTTTCACAAGCTGTCCAGCTGAAATAGCAGACATGAGAGAAAGCTCTCCAGCAAGAACAGAACCAGCCACAACAGTGGCCAACAATCTTGCATTTGATCCTGGTGCCTCTCTGTTAGCACCCTTCACTCCGAGCAGGTTCAGACAAGCTGACTGCGATGCAAGCTGCGTCCCACCTCCAACCGTACCAACCTGGACAGAACAATCAAACACCAATGTAAGACTTCATCTCTAGGATCAAAATACATCAATGTATGAACAATCCTAGATTCCAATTTCCAAGCACTGTAAAAAAACATCAAGGGACAATCAATTTACCTCAATGGAAGGCATGGTGACAGACACGTGAAGGTCCTTTCCATCGTTGATGGGTTCCATCATGGTAATGCAGTGAGAACTCTCCACATTCTGAGCTGGGTCTTGGCCGGTGGCGATGTAGATTGCAGAGACGATGTTGCTGGCATGCGCATTGAAGCCACCGAGAGCTCCAGCCATTGCAGACCCAGTAAGGTTCTTGAGCATGTTAAGTTCACAGAGCGACGCCACATTGGTTTTCAACACCTTCTGCACCACATCGCCCTTGATCACAGCCTCGCAGACCACTGACTTGCCGCGGCCTTCGATCCAGTTCACTGCGGCGGGCTTCTTGTCTGAGCAGTAGTTGCCCGAAATTCCAATCACATCCATGTCAGGGAAGTCGTTCTGGAGGAAATCCAAAACGTTTTGCACACCTTTGGAGACCATGTTCATCCCCATAGCATCACCAGTGCTGCAGGTGAATCTCATGTACAAGTTCTTCCCAGCAATGGCACACTTAATTGTCTGAAGCCTACCGAATCTGCTCGACCTGAAGAATCAAACCCAAACCCAGTTAATTAAAAGTTTAAACCCAAAAAATTATTAAAAAGCAACAACTTCAAGCTTTAATCAAACAAACCGATCAAAGTAATCATACAAATCAGTACAGAAAAGTTCAAATTACCTGTTGAAAACCGTGGACAAGGTGTCATAATTGTTGGGGTCTTCCAAGTAGAACTTCAACTCGGCAGCTCTCTTAGCAGAGTTGAACCTCACACAAGGCGCTCTGGTCATCCCATCTCTCAGCAACACACTGGTGGCTCCGCCGGACAAGTTGATAGCTTTGCAGCCACGGTTGGTGCTGGCAACCAAGCAACCTTCGGTGGTGGCCATTGGCACGGAGAACTCTCTGCCGTCGAGCATAAGAGGCCCGGCAATCCCAACCGGAATCTGAACGTACCCGACTGGCATCTCGCAGCACTGACCCAAAATTGACTCGTAATCGAAACCCTCCAATGGCAGACCAGTGAGAGACTTCCCTGTAATCCTCTGCAGCGCCTCGCGCCTGATAGCTGCCGCCCTCTTGCAATCTCCGAGCTTTGACTCCAGAGAGTACGAAGGGATGGTTCCCGCCACGACGGACTTGACCACCTCCTCATCTTCCTCCGTCAACGGCTGGGTGGTGAAATCGCAGGGAGTGGAGAGGACTACCTCTTTATCAAACACCTTCTGTGCAACAGCTTTGGGGGCGGCAGCAACAGGGGCAATTTGTGGAATTGGGCTGCAGTCGAGCCCTGCCCCACACGGCACTTTCCGTGCGTCGTCTTTCAAAATCAAGCGCTCGTGCTCCTCCTCATCATCGGCAGCCCAGACGTCGTTGTTGGGGCGGAGAATGAGCGACTGCACGAAATCGATCCCGAAGAATCCGAGCAAGTAGATGAAGGAGGCGACGAACGCGACTATCGCGACGATCTCGGAGAGGTCCACGACGTGGAGCGGGGTGGATGTCCTGATCTTCTCGCGCCACCGAGTGAGAAGGAAGTAGACGACGGAGAAGAAGAGAGTAAAGAAGACAGCATTAGTCAGGTACAGCGGCAGCGGGAGGGCGTCGGAGGCCTTGGCCCCAACGACGACGTCGTTCTCGTGGTCCACCACTTTCACTTTGATCGGCCCACTTCTGGCCTTGGTGGCAGGTGTGTCCATCGTCGATCGCCTTCGGACGTCCATCGGGTGTGTTGACGCGGCTGGTGATGCTAAAATGCGCCGGCGGCGATCGAGCGGCGGAGGAGATCGAGAGGAAAAGGACAGCGAGTACTGAGGCTTGTGGGCAAAACGGGAAACTCACAAAAATGATTGAATTTTTTAACTTAAATTTGTTGGTATGTTTGCCGTTGAGTCTGTTTGAATGGTGGAGCGAGTGTTTAGGGGGGTTTATATAGGAAGTAAGCTGGCGTACGCGTGCGAGGGTGGGGAAGCTACGCAGAAGGGAAGGAGTAAAGAGTGTCCTATCGGCACGTGTCGGAGTTACAAGGCATAAAATAAATAGTCAAAGGAGTACACCTCTTGTTTTGTTTCATCTTTCCGACCTCTTTCTTACTTTTATTTTATTTTTCATTTTCTTACAGGTTTTTTTTATTTTTTGTAAGAAAATTATATTTGTGTTTCCGATTATATTGGATGGTTGGTTGGTTGTTTGTCTTTATCCCTATCTTTGCTCAGTTATTTTTAGGGTTTTAGGTTCTATCTTTATATCCTCCACGGAAGCTAAATTTAGGTTTGGTTATTTTTTTGGTAATTTGAGTTAATGTGCAGCCTTTTATGGTTACATTTAAGAGTTAGATGAGAAAATAAGTGTGTGACTGTGAGTCGTAGATGCATTGAGTGTATCAATGTTTAATTATAGATTGGTTGTGTAGGGGAGGCAGAAAGAACCGAACACTACTTACAACAATTAAACCCTAGCAGGTTGCCAGGTTCAACAACACTTCGGGCTGGTTTGGTATTGCTGTGCTTTGAAAAAAAGCTGCTGTGAGAATAAGCGGCTGTGCTATGAGAATAAGCGGCTGTGAAATAAAGCCAGTAGAGTGTTTGGTAAACTTTTTTGTGAAAGTGCTTTTGGAAAAAAAAAAAAAGCAGGATGATAGTGTGTCTTTTCATTAAATGAGCACTGTAGCTCCGTGTGCTTTGAAAAAACTGGCTTTTTTTCAAAGCAGCAAATAGCAGCTTCAGCTTTTCCTTTGATTTTCAGCTTATTCTCACAGCAGCTTCCAAAATAAGCCCTTTTTTTTCAGTTTACCAAACACAAAAATAACCCTCAACTTTTTTTCACAGTGGCTTTTTTTAAAATCACCTCAATCCCAAACGGGCCTTTCATAGCGAAGCGCTTCCAGAAGGCATTGCTTATGTGAATTGTATTGTAAAATTCAAACCTATCTTTACACATGCATGATGGTTAGCATGCCAACTTTCTTTTAAATCTTAGTAGTGCTCATAATTTTGGGGAGGAGGATTCTCTCCCCTTCTAAACTCTCTCCCATTTCCTATCCTCTTACTTGAATAGTTATGATTAAGCTATGTTAACATTTTATATCGATTTTTTTTTTTTTTTTTGTAGAGACAATGAGACAAAAAGCAAAGTGTGAGAGGAGATGAGGGAAGATGATGGGAATTGGAAGGGAGAGAATCCTGCTCCTAATTTTGGAAACAATTAGATAGTATCAGAAGTTATCTTTTATATTTGTACAAGCTACAGGCCAAAAAAGTTATATTTGTTTTCTATTTGATAACTTTTAGGAATTGTCCTGGAGTTTGGTTTTATTTCTCTTTGTATGAGAGTTTGCTAGTTTAATTGCTCTCTATAGGAGAGTGCATGATTTTAATTTTCGTTTTGGTGTTCTACGTCTTTTGGATCTACGTGTGAAAGGCGGAGCTGTTTGATTTGCTAGATCTACTCCATTTGGTATTTTGGGATTGTGACGGTGATTAGGTGATGTGATCGACCCACATGCATCATACTCCCTATCTCAATTAATGGTTTGAAATTTTGTTCTCACATGATCTCCTTGTATCACGAAGTTTAACAGTTTTATTGATCTGTGTAAACGCATGGTTCTGGGTGAGCTCGGACGAGTGCTTTAAGTCTACTAATTGCTTTACGATTAGTGATGTTTTATTGTAATATTTTAGATCTAGTTTGCAAGGACCCTTTTAGGCTAAGTGCTTCATGATATATATTTGTAATACCCTTTATCAATGAATGAAATATTGTAATCTTCTTAAGAAAACAGTATCATATGCATATATAGGAGGCTACCTTTATTAATTTTCTTTTTTAATATGTAAAGTTGTGTAGAAATCTTCTTTTTCTTTTTGTTTGCCCAAAAATAAGATCTCTTGAGAAAGTAGTCTCTCTCGTTCTAATCACTATTCATAAGCTAAAATAAAATACATATAAGATTCCCATACATGTTTTTATTTTCCTCCGAATGATAACTACTATTAATATTAATCAAGTGTGATCAAGCAAATATGGCAAAGGAGAAATGCTAAGAGCGTCTTCAAAGGAGATGTCAAGAATACAATAGTAAAAAATAGCAACAATCTCTCTTCAACCGAGCTCAAATTCGTACATGGCTCTGAGTCAATCTGTCAAATTTTGACAGCAACAAACAAAATTGTTTAATAATTTTTTAATAGATTTGATGCAATATATAATAACTGTTGTTGTGTATTATAAGTATTTGATTGGATATCTCAATAATTGGACCTCACAAAGAGATGAAAATTTAAAATAACATTATTATTTAACATATAAGGTGGAGCAAAAAATTGTTCAAAATGTCAAATTACCACATAAGCCATTAAATATCATTATGATGTTTTAAAATTGACACCTCCTTTAGAGATGTTCTAAGAGCATCTCCAAAGGAGATGTCAAAATCCTAGGTGGAATGTCACTGTGCATATTTGACATCAAAAGTATTTCCAACCGAAATGTTATTTATTGACTGGATTTGAAAGTTTTGTGATTTGGAGTCAAATTTGACATAAAAATTTGAGGTGGCAAAGTGTCCCGTTTTAAGATAATCTCATTAACATTTATCACGTTCAAGATAGTTCATTACTTGAAAAAAATTTATTTATTTATTTATTTCCCAAAACTTGAAAAAGATATTTAAATAGTTGTTGTATTTATATCGGCCAACCAAAGGAGAATAGTTGAATTAAGAAGTGGCAGTCACTTTTTAGCAAACTCAAAGTCAAAAAAGCACAAGGTTCCCAACTTGGTTTTGTTAATAATGCACAACTACCTTATAGCTTACTTTTGTTAATCATATGCTATATATTATCTTTATATAACAAGGTTATATATATATATATATTATATATATATACACACTAACGGGACAATAACTAGCATAATATGCATGTAGGTCATTTTTGGTCTGAAATGTGTGCAGTTTTTGTCTCCAACAACAAGGTTATATTCTAGTCTGCAAGTAGGACTGTCTCCAAGTAGTCATCTTATAGTCTCGAACGGGTTATACTTAACCCTCCGACAAAGCATTTTATGGAGCTCTGGTGGAGTTCTTATCTATCCTTCTCTCTTTCTATCCAAATACAGTAATTAATAGTGTGGAATACTAGGGTTACTTAGTATTACGGTATAATAGTATTCATCTTCACTTATGAGTGATAGATTCTAGATTTGAATATCCTGAATGATGAATTCAAAACTAATTTATATTCATCTTCACTTATGAGTGATAGATTCTAGGTTTGAATATCTTGAATGATGAATTCGAAACTAATTTATTTTCCTAAACTTTAGGGTAAATATATTGTTGTATTCATAAAAGAATAATGTATATTGCTGGAAATAAAAAATACATTCGAGACTACACTTTAAAATATAATATTTTAGAAGACTAAAACATAAACCTCCACGCTCTTTAGCCGATGAAGATGTCCTAATATGCCAAGTTATTAGAATATTAACTAACACTACACGTCGGGACACAACTTCATTCAATTAACGGTTCAATTGGTCTAAAACACGGTAACATGTCAAGAGAAGATTTAATTGTGTAAGAATGGTGATTGGTCGATGAAAGAAAAGCAGCAAGTTTTGCTGAAATGAACAAGTGTCCAATCACAAATAGACACGTGGCTAAACAATTAAAAAGGTAAAAAGGTAAACCAACATTACTCCAAACAAATAAACACGTATTTATTTTCAATTGAGTTTGCAGCAGGACTTGCTGCTTTTATTTCAGCAGTTTCTACTAGTTACTAATTAGAGTTTGTGGAGCAAGGAGCTTTGTTTTTTTGTTTTGGGACCACTTGTGCAAAACGAGTTTCACGCATATGCAAAATTCATACACAAAATCATATATTCATTGATAGTGTGAGACGTGTGCATGTCATGACCTAGCTTGCTAAAATGCTTCTCACGTGCATTTTGACATGCAAAAACCTGTTGATGTTGAGGGATTTTGATGTAGATTAAATAAAGTAAGTGATTGATTGTCTTATTGATTAGAGCGTTCCTATGTAATTTATCTTGAAAATGTAGAGGATAAAGTTTTACATCATTGAAGGACCAAACTCTGCAATAATTTATAAGGAATTGTGATACTTTCATATTACTAATTTATTTTATTGTGAAACCTCAACTTTCATTACTTACTATGTTTTGGGTTAAAACCTCTTATTTTGTATAGGATATCCCTTATAAATAAAAAATAAAAAAAAAAGGAAACAGAAAAAAAAGGTTTTGATCTCAGCATATTTGGAAAATGCTTTTTAGCCAAAATAGTATCTGAAATTGACATAAATCCTCATTTTGGTCTCTGAGATTTAAATTGATCTCTGAGTTTGTCTAGTGTCAATTATTTTGGTATTTCCATGAAAATTTTCCTTAAATAAAGAGAAAATGAAAAAATACTCTCAATTTTTTGTCAAATCATTTTGACTCATTGTTTATTTATGATATTTTTATATTTCAACTTTCATACATTGTATCACCTCTCATTAATTTCCTACTTCTCTATTTTATGGGAATCTTACTCTTTAATTTCTCTAAGGGCTCGTTTAAATGTGTTTTTAAAATAACTGAAAGTGCTTTTAGGAAATATTTTTTGGTTCCAAAAGCATTTGAAGTGCTTTCTACAAGAAACACCGGTTATGTGCTTCTTCCATAAAGCACTTTAAGTGTTTTTCCAAGATTTACTAACATTTTTACTAAGGATTGTTTCTAAAAATATTTTTACTAAAAACGCTTTCAGTCATTTTAAAACCACATCCAAACAAGCTCTAAGTTAATTAGCTAAAAATACAATGAAATACAAAAACAAAAGCATCAAAAGTGACTAATTATTGAATTTTGTTGTCATCATTGTTGGAGTCATTAGCTCAAC